CAGAATATTTGTTTTAAAAGAACACAAAGGAAAAGATTCCAAGATTTATATTAAAAAATGTGTTGTTTACTTAGATCTTTTTTCTCTGGTCCTTATTTTTTTCTAATTTGTTTTCTTTCTCTTTCACTAAGGTCTTTTCCCCTTGTCTTTAAGAATATGAACTTGATGAAAAATGGGATATTCTGAAATAGCAGAAAATAGACTTTGTTCAAGGACAATAAAGAATTCCATTTTCAGCTTTTCCAGATAGGATAGGAATAATAGTTATACAAAGACAGGCTTGTTATTTCAACATCTTAATTGACAAAAAGTGTCTCATCCACTTATTTAGTTAGTTCTGAAGACAACTTGCATACAGGTTGAGCAGAACCTATATCTTATAATGTTGCACCTACAATTGAAATTTTATCAAATTCCTACATTTTCAATTTGGTCCTTCTACATGGCTTCCTATACTTTTCTTTCCTTATAACTTTTTCTCTTATTGCTTAATTGCATTGATTGCACAAAATCGCTCTTCTACTGGCATTTTCTTTTCAAATGTTTGTGTCCTGTTTAATTTAAGACTGCTTATAGTGCTTATAACACACATGAAAATTCCCCATGCAATAGCTTTTTTTTTACATTGATATACACCAGAACTTTTAAAATTGATTTTAAAAGTCTTCATGTGTGTTTAATTCTTCCAATTCTTGTTGTGTTATAATGTCAGTAATATCTTAAATAAATTTGTGTCTAGCAGGTAGCATGCTTTTTTTTTTTTTGCAAATTATTCCAGTTTCAGATTTATTTTAAGTTAACAATTTCATATGATCATAGATTTTAAAACTCTGATTTATAGCACCTATAGAAACAGTTTATTTTGTTTCTTACTTCTAATATATACTGTACAATCATCACAGTTTTCTGACTGAATTGCAAAAGAACTAAAACATTAAAAGTTAGTGAATTTCTTCTACATCCTGGATTAAAAAAAAAGCTTCAAATGCTTTCTATGAAATTTTTGCAAAATATCTATTTGAAATTTTAGCAGTATTTTCCTTTATAATTATATTAATATTTTATGAGGCAAGTCTTTACTAATTTTAATGAGATTCAAAGTTTGCTCTGTGTGTGTTTTTTTTTTTAATTTTGTATGCAAAAAAATGTTTACCCCAAAATGATTGTTTGCATCTGTTTGCAGTTAGTAAGTTGCTGCTGCTTATGAAAAAGAAAAGGCAGTTCATAATCAAACT